TGACCGCAATGCTCCGACCCTCTCCCGTGGATATGGCCCCCCCAACCACCCCAATGGCCCCCATATAACCCACACAGCCAGGCCACTCTCCGCTTGGTGATCTCCCCCCTGCCGGTTCAATGACTCGGTTGCACAGCTGCCTCTTCCCATTCTCTCCCCTCCTGAGCTGGACTGTCATGTTATGGGGATGGGTGGGTGAGGCTTGGTCCCCTTATCTGGTCCCTCTCTGCTATTTCAGAGCCAGAGGGAGTGATGATGAAAGACATCCGCTTCCACTGAGCATCAGCCTCATCCACCAGAGGGGCTTTCTTCCGTCCTCTCCACAGATCACCTGCTCAGTAACAGCTACCGCCTCCTGCTCCACCTGCCACTTAGGTTCTGCAGCACCACTTCACGATGCCTGGTCTACATTCACTGTTTCAAAGGCCGCAGCTCTGGAGCCTGTACCTCTGCCACTGCATTTCAGTTGATGCTGGCCTTGCCTTCAGATGGGCCCATTTCAGAGCCTGGACCTCTTGTGGGGTTTGCTTTGCCACCTGCTTTCCAGTTCCATTGCAGTTCTCCACCATGAGATATTTTTTTTGCAAGAAGTTCGAAGGTCTGATTGAACTTTTTTTTTTAGTCCCAAGAACTTATTTTGTTGCCCTGCATGCAGCTGCAGAGAAACACAAATGAGCTGCAAAGCATGTTAGCAAAGGAATGCTTTGGGGAAGAAGCGAGGAGATCTGGGCAGCCCCATCTCTCTCCAGTAGCTGTCCAGAAGAAAGGGAAAGCAGCCAAGTGACAAATGAGGCCATCCCGGCCAGCCAGGCACTGAAGCGCCACCACCACCACCACCTTAGAAACACGAGAGAGCAATGCAATCCAATGTGTGAGAGAGAGGGGGGGAAGGGAGGAGAGAGAGAGAGCTCACACCGCTGCCAGCCTTGGTATAACTCTCCAAGGTTGGATCAGACCGCTCTGCCTCTCTCATATATACAAATATACACACAGAAGTTGGATCGGATTGCTCTCTGTCTCTCTTGCTGATGACACTTTGGTGCCTGGCTGGCTGCTTCTGGCCCCACTTCTGACTTGGCCCCTTCTTTCTTCTGGGTAGCTGATGGAGAGAGACGGGCAAATCGCTACATTTCAAAGCATCCCATTGCAAGAAGACAACCCTTCTGTCTCCCTCTGGGTGAAAAGTTTGCAGGAGAGGCAGAGGCATGAGGGGGGAGGCAGGAGATGTGCATGTGCTGCGTGGCTGCCTGGCTCATGGGAGGCTTGTGTGGCAGCATTAGCAGCAGGCGGAGGCAGAGGCATGGGGGTGTGGGGAGGAAGCTGCCTGCCTGCTCCCTCTCATTATCTGCTTTCCTGTGACTCCAATGTCTTATAAGGCTTCCCAGATCAGGTGTACTTTTCACCCAGATAGAGAAATGAGGGAGACTAAAAATTTTGTCTGCTTGCAAATGGGACGCTTTGAAATGGAGTGATTAGCTCTGTTTCAAAACATCCCTTCTTGCAAGCAGACAAAGCTTCATCTCACTCTGGATGAAAAATGTGTGGCGGAGCCAGGTGGAGGCGGGGAGATAGCCGATCCCAATGTGCTTAGCTCTGTTTCAAAGCATCCCATTTGCAAGCAGATGAAGCTTCAAGTCTACATCCGGGCAAAAAGTGCTGCCCTAAGAATCTCTGTAAGCTGTTGTGGCAGAAGGAAATCAGATGGTGGCAGGGAATGGGCCCTTATTTTGGGGCCCCCCCAAAAATAAAACCCAGTCTTATTTTGGAGAAACATAAGTAATATGCTGACCTTGCTGTTCTGATAGCTGCCTGAAAGTAAGCCCTTAATGAAAGTACATTTTATGCTTAAACAGTATCCAAATATCAAATATGTTCAGCATTATTTGTTATTGGGCCACAAGCACTCAGATTTCCTGCTATAATGTAAGTTATTTTCTAAAATACCCTTCAGCTTCTGAAAGTAGCCAGAAGATGCTGCTGTATGAACAATATACTCTTGGCATCCTGGACAGTTGTTTATGCAAAGAGCAACATGTAGCATTTCTGTACCCTGAAGTATGTCACACAGTTTCTAAAATAGCCTGAGAAAAATCCTTTTGGCTAGAATTTTTAAATGGCAACTGAAATTAATTGCATCTATACTAAAATCTATAGAAAAATCTTAGATTGGAGGAACCCACTCATATACATCAGCTTTTTTCTTAGACTAGGACATTTCCAGCTGTACTCCACAGAATATTGTCCCAAGAACTTTAAGGAGTTCCATGATTGACTATTTATTCATTAAATTTATATGCCATTGATCTCATCATCAGGCAACTAGGCAACTGACAGTCAAACAAACCACTTTAACGCAGCCAGGGCATCCAAAGTATTTTTCTTAAGAAACACTGGAAAACATAAGTCTTGTTTCCACAAAAATAGTCACAGCTGCCATTTTGAGCATCAGAGGTTCTATGAAATTTTTAATAGGTTTTATGGCCTGAAAAAATGTTATAAAAAGTTTTAGACCATAAAATACACTGT